TCATATAGAACAAATGAAATTGCTCTGAAAAGACAGGATCCGTCACCAGTAATATGGATTATTTTATGAGGCACTTTAATGCCGTTTATATTTAACATTTCAACACACATTTTGTTTTGTCGCTGATAAATACGTAAATTTTTGCAATTTTTAAATACTGACAATTTTGTAAATGTCAACAAAAATAAAATCGTGAATTTATTTACATTTTTAACAATTGTTTTTGTAATTTTTATGTGAAATTTTTACTAGATTTGTCCAGATTTTGACTAGTTGAGGTAAATTAATAAAACATTCAAATACTTAGAGTATTTGTATAATAAGGTAAATACAATTAATCTAAATTATAACGTTAAATTTTAATATTCTTTTAATTTATTAAATATGATATTTTTATGATAAAATTATATATTGATTAAAATTAATTAACTAGCATGGCATTGTGCCTTAAGGCAAGTTGCTGGAACTTCCCGTACCAAAAATTAAAATTGTAAAAAACTTTTAAATTTTTTTCAAAACTGAAAAAAATAAAATTATTGAGAATCTTAAAAATTTTGAAATAAAATTACTTTTTTGAAAAATATGATTTTTGTATACTTTAATTTTTTCTGAAAATTGTATATATTTTTCGAACAATTTTTTTCGAACAAATCGGACGCTCCGTTCTCTTAAAAACTGAGTTACCGTTTTTGTCACTTTTTGCCCCATATCTTTGGAACGGCTAAATCTGTCTTCGCCAAAAACTAAACAGCACGTCTCCTTATGAATACGAATCGAATGTTTTTTGAATTATTCAAATCGCTTCATTCGTGTTCCCGAAATCGTCGACGAAAATTTGTATCCGCATACACACACATACACGCACACACAAACATACGCACACACACATACATCCATTTTTTCTAAGGTATGCAAACATGTTCAGAAGGTTTTGAAACGTAAAGATATATAAAAATTTGCATGTTCGATTTTTTTGCGATTACTATAACTTGCCCTACGGGAAGTTAAAAATGTTATCATAACATCTAAATCTCAATTCCGGTTGATTATTGAATCGATCGATAATTTAAGCGCAACTTGCCTCAAGGCAAAATGCTATTTGCAACTAGTTCAAGAATATATTTATTCAACAAAGGCGACAAAAATGGACGGACATACTTAATTAAAATTCCTGAAAATATTTACCAACGACTTCTATTACCATATCTAATTATGACAGTCTTTATAATTATGAAATTCAATTAAATCGAGTGTTGCCAAGGCAAAATTGTGAATTCTGCGCCTTCTTGCTGCAGCACAGGCACCGACATAATTTTGTAGCAATTTCCTAGCAATTACATTAGAAAACAGCTATAATGTTATTTTATTTCTGCACTCGCAGTATTTTATGTTTCCTATAATAGTTGGAAGCTTTGAAAACAATCCCGTGAAATTGAACGGTCGATTGCTCTACGTGAAGGTAATGATCAAGTGATTTTTATATAAATATTTCATCGGAAAACATAAGTGGGGAAATAAATAATCTTATAAGAATACAAACATATATATGCTTGTTTGATATTGAGAGCTATTAACTTTCCGTAGGGTAAGTTATATTAGGTAATCGCAAAAAATTGAGAATGAAATTTTTTGCATATCTTGACGTTTCGAAGGTTTCTGAACATCTTGGCATACCTGAGAAAAAATGAATGTATGTGTGTGTGTATTTGTATTCATTTTGAGAACGTAGATTGACTGATTTCAATGATTAAAAACATTCAAATTCTATTGATGAAGATATGTGCTGATCGGAATTTTTGACCGCAAAATCAAATCCCAAAATCGTCGACGAAAATTTGTATCGGCGGCACACATATACACACACGCGCATATACATCCATTTTTTCTAAGGTATGCCAAAATGTTCAGAAACCTTTGAAACGTAAAGATATATAAACATTTTCATTTTCGATTTTTTTGCGATTACTATAACATACCTCACGAGAAGTTAAAAGAATCAAAATATTCAAAAAAAAAAAATACAAAAATTACAAAATACTCAAAATTATACAAATGTTTTTTATTTTGAGTTTTCAAAAACTTACAAAGCTTTTTTTGAATAAAATTTTTGGTACTGTAAGATCCAGCAAGATGCCTTAAGGCACAATTATTTATAAATATTATATTCAAAATCAATATAATTCATGTTTTGGCCTTTTTTATTGATAATTAGTTTTTTCAGTTTTGAAATTTTTTATTGCCCTATATGGGATATGATACAATATATATATATATATATATATATATATATATATATATATATATATTCAAGGAAGGGAATGACAATTAATCCTTAAACGATGCGATCTCAATTGAAAATATATATATATATATATATATATATATATATAATTATATAATTATAAACATGCTTTTCTATACTAAAGGCATTTTACATTAACAAATTTTTATTAATTATACTGCTTTTTTGCATATTGATGAGTATTCTGGCTTTGAAATAATGTAATTTACCAACTTTATTAATTATATCATATTAAAACATAATTTTGCGTTCAATGAAAATAAATTAAACGTTGACATATTCGAATTGATATTCAAAGTTCAATATAATTATAAAACTTTCAAATAAATCAATACTCGCACGAACAAAATATTTTGCATTTTGTTCAATAGAATAACTATTACTTATCTCTCTCCAATTTTAATTATACTGATTGAAAAAATGTTCAATTCTTATAAAGTATTTCTTACGGACTTTTCTTCGCCGTTTCTGCAGAAGCGTAACTCTTTAAATATTAATGAGTCTAAGAAAGGTTGAGTAAAGAAATGAAAATAATTTAAAAATTCCAATTAGGAGAAGAACAGTCTACAAAACTGGAGAATCCTATTTTAAGAAGACTTTTTCATTCTTAGAGCTGAATAAACAAAAAAATATATTCAAAGAAGGGAATGACAATTAATCCTTAAACGATGCGATCTCAATTGTAAATTACCTTTTCATTATTATTAATGAATCTTTCGTACTTTTAAGCGGACGATGTTTTGGAAAATTAATCTGTTTCGTAAATGCAATTTAGTAGAATAAATGGTAATCTGTTTTAGTAGTAGTAGCATAGACCTTATACTACATGGACTGCTAGTCCTTCCATTTTATAAAGTGTCAAAAGATAGAATGGGACTGTGTAATCACTATGTGAACGAGCGTTGCCGACAATCGCCGACACTCCCGGTTGATTAAATATCAAATGGCATATGTCACGTGCTTAACCTAAAAGTAAATCTTGTGCTTCAAATTGTTAAATCGTTGTGAAGGAAAATATCAAATTTACATATGACCATAAACCTTATAATGATTTAAATAATAATGTAAAGATTTTCAAAAATATAACAAAATTACAAGCTAGTGCAATATATTAACTTCCCGAAGACGTTTGTTTTCATCGAAATATTTGATTCGCTAATTTTATGTTTTCTAGACGTTTCAAGCCATTCTGAATTAAATGAGACCAAATTTGGAAAAAGTATGTGTGTATGTATGTGTGTTTGAACAGATTTTTTACCGTAAATCGATGTTTTCTCAAAAACGGCTGGACCGATTTAAAAAATTCAAGAGCCATTCGATGTATCTCGATAAGGACTACTGTTTGTCAGTTTTGTGCAACGATCAGCCAAGCCGTTTCTTTGTAAATCGCAGAAGAGTGAAATATTTTTCGTCCACATTTTAGCCTGAAATTCTGAATCGATTTTAAAAATTTAAAAACCGTTCGAAAAATATAGGTTGGTAATCATGCTGATTAGTTTTTGGTAGAGATCGGCCGAGCCGTTTTCTTGTAATAAAGTGTTGAAATTTTTTTTTGACGATTTTTATTATTATTTTTTTGACGGTAGATACCATAGTTTTATAGATCATACTAAAATATTACGGCCATATGACTAGTCGTTTAATTTTAAAAATTCTTCAAAGTTTCAAAAATTAGTATAGTTTTTTTGGCATTCGCCAAAATTAGACATTTCATCGACATTTGCTTAAAAACGCCCGAACCGATTTTATAAATTCAAAAGCCATTTGATGTATCTCGATGAGGATTATCATTTGTCAGTTTTGTGCAACGATGTGCCAAGCCGTTTCTTTATAATTTGGAAAAAAGTGTTAAACTTTTCGTCTACATTGAATCTCATACTACCGAATCGGTTTTAAAAAATCAAAAACTGTTCGAAAGATATTAGTTGGGAATGATGCTGATTAGTTTTAGGTGAAAATCTTCCGATTTAAGCCGATTTTTATAGAACTTTTTTTGGCGATATATATCATGGTCTTATAGAACTTACTGAAATATTAAGAACTTACGACAAGTAGTTTAATTTTAAATTTAATAAATAATAACACTAGTTGTGATGGGAATCAAAGCATAGTTCAGTTTATTTCTTGTTAATTTTATTAAAAATATATTTTGTTATATATTGTTATATTATATTCATAAGCTTTGTGGTTGTTTAAATGATTATGTTATGTTGCGTTTCTGACAATTTAGGTTGCTATAACCAATTTTGGTTTTTAATCTATATATTATATGAACCTTTTAACCTATTTTTATGTCTGTTTTCAATTAAGCGGTAATTTTCCTCCGCTATATTTAATGATACAATAAATATTTATTTTAATTTCCACAGTATTCTATTAGCTTTCACATTAAATGAGTTAAGAATCCACACATTTATTTATGATTGTTATTATATTATATGCTCACTAACATGATAATATTATATCAGTAGATATTAACTTAATGTTTGGATCTATAAATTTCTCATTAAAGATATGTTTAGAAGATATGTTAAAAAGCAAGCAAAAATGTATTCAATTCAAGTCATTAGCTGCAACATTAGATTCTCAAATGTATAATAGTACTAAAACTTAAGACACATAGTCTGAAATACCTATTTCTATTACTCGATTGGTTTTAAGTTTGTGAAACTTATACTTTGTAAAACTTTAGATTTACCTGAATTTATTGCAGACATAAATCCGTAGTTGGCCAGCAGAAGAAGATAAAATACGGTATACCACCAACGGGCGTTACCACGAAGGGCGAATAAGTTCTCGATTACTTCGAGATTCATAGTTTAACATTAAAACTAAGATGTTTTATGCCACAATTAACTATTTTTAAGTGATATTTAAAAATCACATTGCACTACAAATAACTTTATAACACTAGTAAAAGTAATTTGAATCATAACTATTAACAAAATATTGAAAAATTATTCCAAAAGAAAAGAAAATTCGAGTCTCATAATGTCAGCATTTGGAATCCATAGTTATCTGAAACAAAATAAGAATATTTCAATATTGATTAAGAATAATATATAAGTTATTGTAAGTACAATGGTTAATGTTTCATACGTTTGACGAATATACTCGTAAATACATAAATTACAAGTATAGTCGTCATTTTCATAAAAATAATTCGAACTAGTTGGAAGTGGCATTTAGCCTCAAGACAAGTTGCATGAACTTTCCGAAATGTGTAATAATTGACTTATTCGACCAAAATTGAGATTTAGATATTTGGATGCAATTTTCAACTGCATGATTACATATATAATATACCCTTTTTTATAAGATTTTTTATTTCATGTATGATGTATTTCAACATAAAAAAAATCACCAGAAGAAAATTTTCAACATTTAATTGCGGAGAGACGGCTCAGCCGATTTTTATCCAACTAATCAGCACAATTTCTAAATAATATCATTCGAATAGATTTTGAATTTTTAAAAACGATTAAGAATTTTTAGCTGAAACATGGACAAAAACTTTTCACTTGTCACTTAATTACTAAGTAATGGCTCGACCGATCATCGCACAAAACTAAAAAAACGATGGTCTTTACCTAGATACATCAAATGGCTTTTGAATTTTTGAAATCGGTTCAGGCATTTTTGAGCAAACGTCGATGAAAGGTCTAATTTTGACAAATGCCAAAAAAACGATACTAAGTTTTGCAAACCTTGACAAATTTTCAAAATCAAACGACTTGTCGTAGGGCTGTAATATTTTGGTATGATCTAAAGAACCATGATATCTATTAAACAAAAAAAATCATGAAAATCGTCGAAAAAAATTGCTTTAACACTTTATTATAAGAAAGCGGCCCGATCGATCTTTACCAAAAACTAATCATGTCGATTCATAACCAATATCTTTCGAACTGTTTTTGAATTTTCAAAAACGATTCAGATTCGCGGACAAAACGTGGACATTTTTTCACTTTTCTGTTATTTACGAAGAAACGATTAGGCCGATCGTCGCACAAAATTTGATAAACGCTAGTCTTCATCCAGATATATGGAGTGGCCTGCAAACTTTTGAAATTGATCCATCGATTTACGGCAAAAAATCTGCTCACATACACGCACACACACACACAATTTTTTTCCAAATTCGGTCTCATTCGATTCAGAATGGCTTAAGACTTCGAGAAAACCTAAAATTAGCGAATCGAATTTTTTTATGAAAACATAAACTTTTCCTTCGTGAAGTTAATAATTTTAAATACTATTTTTATGCTCTTGCAGAGTATCAACAACTATTAAGCAATTATCCTTGCACTTCGTCTTTACCACACCGAGAGTGGGTTTACTTTTAAACTTCTTTTAGAGCATTTAACATCTTAATGGTCGCTAAACACAACTCTTCAGTAAGTTTTGAGTTAATAACCCCGCAAAGTGCATTGTGGAGGCAATTCCCTCAGTAATTGCAGTTATAAAGAAAAGCCACCAACACAGCAACCTCTTCGGGTTTATTTTATGCTGAATGCATAATACGAGTCGGAGGCATAAAGTTTTAGCGTTTTTGTTGAATGCGAAATGGAGGGCTATTAGCTAATTGCTCATACTAATTCTATGTGGCGAACGATATTTATAAGTAGTTTTTCACAATAACTTAATATGGCGTTAAGCTGAGATTTATAAAGGTTGCAAATGTGGGTACTCGATTTAGTTATACGCCACTTTGAGTATCTCGAATGATTTTTGTATATTAAATTATTAATATACAAAATTATCAAAATTTTAGGATACAAATTATCAATAGCAATTTTGTAAATATTTACGCTATTGATTTTATTCTCCAACATTTTCTAGAATTAGTATATATTTATATTTCGAGGTCATTAGCTACTATTTTGCCATTTTAGTACATACTTGTTTGAAAGGCGACCCAGTGAATGGCCTATCCTATTTGTGATAAAAGATTATTAAGACTATGTGTAACACTACATTTTGAATCTATATTCAATGTTCAAGAAAGCAATTTTTGCTTTCGAATTTAGAAATTCGAAAACTGTTAAAAAGATATTTGGTGCCAATCGCGTTGACTAGTGTTTGATAAATCTCTGCCCGGCCGTTTCTTCTAAAAAATAGACGATTCTGATGAATTTTTTTAAGCAAGAGATCATGGTCATATTAAGCATACTACAATTTTACGTTCCTATAGTGGTTTCAATTTAAAATTTCACCATAGTTTGGCACAATATGATTCAAAATCAAAATTCGATTTTCTGATATGATGAAACAAAACATGAGTTTCGCCAACGTTTTTTCAAAAGCGTCTAAAACGATTTCACAAATTTAAAAGCCATTAGTTAAAGTCGATAAGGATGATTTGTCATTTGGTTTGCAAGACGATTGGCCAAGCCAATTGTTTGGAATTAGCAAAAAAGTATATTTCTTCTGTTTTTCAAAAATCTTGTTATCATAAGTTTATGGATTTGTACACTGTTCACACAAATTAATTAATAATTATCCACCCACATTTTTCAAATATACGTATCATCTAACGAGCAGCTTCTCTAGTTGTGTAAAAAATGGTACCAATAATTTTAAATGATAATTATCAAATCGTGCCAATACTTTTTTATAGCAGATGCTTAATATTTCACAAAATAATTCATTCAAAACTCTTTAAAAAAATATTTTTAGAATTTTTATTAAAATTTAACATGGCGATTTTATGCCGGACAAAAATTGGTTGAATTATATAAATTTATCAAAAATTTGCAATCATAGACACTCTTAGGACATATAAGCACAGATTCGTGCATACAGTAAAGATTATTAATAATTTTGAGCAGTTGCTTAAAAATTAGATGTAAATTCTTTTTTCCACAATTTATGGTTTTCCAACCATTTATGCTATCTCCATTACCATTCCAATATAATTCGTGACTTTTGTAATTAAACATATTTATTATAACTGCATTAGAACCAATTCGACTTATTGTGTGTTTGAATTAAATATGGCCTCGATTTGAAAATTGCGTGCCGGTTAATACCTGTTTATTCATTTTATTGTTTGCTTTTCGAGTTAAATGTTAATTATAACAGAAGAAAAGTTTTATCATTCACATCATTTGTCACGTATTTGCTGCGAAGGAACTGGTTAGAAGATTTCCTGGTAAACGAACACTGAGGAAAAATTGAAACTAAATTGATTTTAGTTTTATTTAGAGCAAAATTACTGTTATTAGATACAGTTAAAACGTATCTAAAATTAATGTATTTTCAAATTTCGTTCATCAGGCAACATGACACTTAATCCTTACTATTCAAATTTCTACATTTTCTTTACCCAATATACATTTTAAATCAAACACTCGTACTTTCCAAAGAAATCGCATGAATATACGTATTTAATATTGCATTTCCATAATACTAGTAGTAGCTCAGTTAGAAAACTTTTACAAAAGTTTCGACATTCAAACCGAGGTTTTATATTGCAGTTGCTGCGCATTAATATGAATTTTCAATGATTCGACGCTGATGAAATTTATAGAGTTTCGTTCTGCAGACGGTATTGATTATGAACAGAAATTATAAGTTCTGGAAGAAGTTGGAATAAGATTGGAACTGATAGAAAATAGTAGGTAGGAATATGCAGGTAGCACCAGTAGGCACCTTATATATTGTTTGAAAAAATACGTACAGCCCTAAATTATCAACCTCTTGCCACAATTCCACATTGGGTAAATATTATTAAGTACCAAAATAAATTTTCATTCCGCTATCAGATAGTAAATATTTTCAAAATATTTCTGATTAAGATTCCATTCATTTTATGAAAAAGCACAATTTTTGTTTGTTTAAAAAAAAAGCGCAATTTAATTCTATCTAAAATTATTCATTCCAAAAACTTTTCTTTTGAACTTTTGAAACAATTTTTTTTACATTATTAACTTCCCGTTATTTAAATTATAGTAATGAACCGAAAATCAAAAATGAAAATTTTTGCATATCTACACGTTTCAGAGGTTTCCGAACATTTTGGCATACCTCAAAAAAATGGATGTGTGTGTGTGTGTGTGTTTCGTGTGCAAATATTTGTCCACGTTTTTGGGCGCACGGATCAACCGATTTGAATGGTTTAAAAAATATTCGATTCCTATTGATAGGGAGATGTGGGGATTAGTTTTTGGCAGAGGCATGTCCATCTGTTTAGGAGATACGGAGCAAAGAGTGCAGAAAATAGAAATCGAGCTTTTGAGAAAACGGAGCATCCGATTTGAATGATCTAAAAAACATTCAATTTGTAAGCATTGGGTGATTAGTTTTTGGCAAAGGCAGGTCCATCCATTTTGGAAATACAGAGCTAAATGTGCACAAAATGGCAGTTTTTGAAAAAACTAAGCATCCGATTTGAATGATTCAAAAAACTTTCTGCTTGTGTTGAAAAAACAATTGCTTGGAATTTTTTTTTTATTTTTGTTTTTTCAGAGAATGTTTTTGTTAATTATAATAATTCTTGTAAATATTAAACAAAGTTACAGTATTTATAATAATCTAATTGAAAACATTTAATGTGCTTCGAATTTTGCCTTAAGGCACCACTAGTTTTCATATAATGAAGGATTAAAAAAAGTGCAACCCTCAATTTTCACCCTCCTTCACCATACTATATTATACATTACTTTTAAAGACTTTTTAAACCATCATGAATATCATAAACAAAAATAAATGTTGTTTTTAAAGAAAGCAAATTTATATTGTAATAAGCAAATTATTAAGAATGAAGAATATTTTATGGTATGGATAATGTTAGTAATTTTTTATCGGCTCCCCT